TTTTTTTTCCTGCTGATGTTGCCTCTCCTTTCAATCATTGCTTCACAAACAGTTGAGCGTTTACAACGTACCAGGCAACAGAAGGGTAAATGATGGAAACATTGATATCCTTGGATGGGAAGGATATAGCCCTTCATCTTTTAAAAACACTTCGAGGTTTATTTCTTGATTTCTCTCCTACAGCGTCAGTTTTACTCTTCAGAGAAACAGGAAGCTTGGTGAAGCATGAGTGTGTGTGACATTCAGCTGCAAGCATGACATGAGCACTCAGGCTGTGAACTGCCTTCGTCTGAGCAGTGACTCCCGGGCGGTGGGATCCAGGAGAGAATGAGGACTGACACCCCCCAGCACCACCTTCTGTTGTATCCTCACGTGCTTTAATCCCTCAGGTCTGTTGAAAACGGGCAGCATTTAAGCGTAGGATCGACCAAGAGGAGGAGTTTCATAAACACTGCCATGGTTTTAGAACGAACGTGCCTAGGGATGGTCACATCACAGCCACAATCTAGTCCTTAAAAACCCGGCACCATTTCTATGTAAGGGGAGCCCCAAAGGCTCTGACATACTATGTGTGACAGCCTTCTGGCTGCGTGACATTTTGTTGCTTACAGACAAAATTTACCTCTCCTCTTTCCAAAATCAGTAGGTCATAGGTCATTATTTCAGAAGGACTTTTGTAGTAGGAAAATACTGTCTTAAAAGAAACAAGGAGGGGAGGGGAGAGCTCAGTGGTAGAATGTGAGCTTAGTATACATGAGGTCCTGAGTTCAAAATGCCTCTGTTAAAAGTAAGTAAATAAGTAAATAAATCTAATTACCCTCCCCCCACCAAAAAAGGGAAGAAAGCAGCAAGAAAAAAGAAAAAAAAGTTAACTCTTCTACACACACACACACACAGGGTTTGGGACAGGCCTCTCATTCCTAAAACTAGAGAAAAACACGACCGTCCAGTAAATCTGAATTTGATGTAATCACCTGTCCCTTTACTTATGTTTGCCAAACAGCACACTTCTGGTAATAATTGTGGCCAAAAATAAATAAATCCCTAAGGCAAAACTTAGCATTTGAGAAATTTCCAGAAAAATTTAAGGCAATTTTTACAATAAGAAGATTAATATTTTTTCTAATCCCATGTCCTACAGTTTATAAAAATCTATTAAGTCCCTTAGGTATCAGTAAACACGGACTGTGGTCCTACTAGGCTGATTGCTCACACAAGGTGTTCTACGTATTTGAAGAAACATCAGAAAGGGCAGCTTTGTGTTGGAGATTATATGCAAGGTGGGCACCTTGAAAAGGTTTGTGTTTTCTTTAGGCCAGTTTTTAACCAATACATTTTTAAATACTCACCTTCCAGGTGATCAGCATGAACATATAAAAAAGATACACAAGCAGGGTAACTCCAAGGGTGAATAAAATCAAATGTCATTGGCCAACCCCAAAAGTGGCCATACCAAACGTAGTTTTTTTCCTTTTCAAGGTGCCCACCTTGCATATAATCGCCAAGGAAGCAGGTGGCAGTGGCCTCATCCCAGAAGAAATGATGCAGTGATTCTGTTCGCAAGGGTGGGAGCAAACTGGGAAGCACTTCTCCGTAACAACTAACCACAGATACGATGGGTGGAAACACCCCAGCGAGGCCTGCATGGCCACCCCATTCATGCTTATGGTGGCAAAAAAGCAACTTATTCAAGTGTCAAAGAGATTAACTTACACAAGCTCTTTAGGGGATGACAAGTTAAGTGTAAATACCTCTCGGAGTTTTCCAAGGGCTAAATAGGCTGAAATTCGGGAATATTGATGGCCTTTGGGCCAGAGGAGGCAACAAATGCTTGACTTTGGGGAGAAACACAGAAACAAAAACCCCCACAGAACAGATTCTTTGGTGGGGAGAGAAATGAGGCGAGAGGAGCAGAGATAGAAAGCAGACAAATACAAAACTTGAAGACTGAAACTCTACTCAATGATGGAACAGGATTTCTTTTAAATCACTTGTTCCCAGGGGGGTGGTACCGCCCCCTAGAGGCAGTTGTGGGAATGTGAAGACTTTTGAGGCCCTAACGATGGGAAGGCTGCTACCTGTATTCAACAGGTGGAGCAGGGAAGCTACACAGCCCTACGGTTGGAACCCCTCCCAGCAGAGAACTGTCCCCCATCAGCACAACTTCCAACCGCCCCACCAAACATTCATGTAGATGGAAAGCCAGTCTAGAATTACCTGAGTTTAGTTTAAATTATAATCTAATTTCATTTTATATATAAACATACAGGGAATTTTTAACTCAGTTTTAATATGCATTGGATTTTTCAGGAAGGCAATTATTTTATAAACTGACGGAAAGTGAAAAGCAAAATGAACAGGATGCCAGAACCAGACTGCTTCAATTCTAATCCCAGCTCTGCTGTTTCCAGCTATGCACCCTCATATGTAAAATGGGAGTAACAGTACCACCCACCTCAGAAAGCTGCTAGGGAAGGATTTAGATCAATGCCAGGCATCCAGTAAGCATCATTTGGATGTAACGATTAAAGATTTTTGTTTTATCTAGAACCTTATCGAGAACTGGCCACATTTTAAGAAAAGGGAACTCCTTGTACACTGTTGGTGGGAATGTAAATTGATGCAGTCACTGTGGAAAACAGCATGGAGGTTTCTCAAAAAATTAAGAATAGAACTACCATATAACCCAGCAATTCCACTCCTAGGTAAATATAAAAAAGAAAGAAAGAAAGGGAGAGAGAGAGATAGAAAGGGAGAGAGAGAGAAAGAGAGAGAGAAAGAAAGAAAGGGAAAGAGAGAGAAAGAGAGAAAGAGAGAAAGAGAGGAGAGAAAGAAAGAAAGAAAGAAAGAAAGAAAGAAAGAAAGAAAGAAAGAAAGAAAGAAGAGAAAGACCAAGCTTGCTCTAATTAAAAAAGATGCAAGTACCCGAATGTTCACAGCAGTATTATTTACAATTGCCAACGTATGGAAGCAACCTGTGTCCATCAACAGATGACTGAATAGAGAAGATGTGAATCTACAATGGAATGCTACTCAGCCATAAAAAAGAATGAAATTTTGCCACTTGCAGCCACAAGGATGGACTTGGGGGCATTATGCTAAGTGAAATAGTGAATGACAAATTCTGTATGACATCACTTATATGTGGAATCTAAAAAATACAACAGACTAGTGAATAAAACAAGAGAAGTAGACTCACAGATACAGAGAACTAGCGGTTACCAGTGGGAATAGGGATGCAGGGGAAAGGGGGCTATTATGGGATTATATGAAATCATGTGTGTGAAGCTTTTGAACATTCTAAAGCACCACAGACTATAAAGAATCTTTCATTCAATTGAAAATACAAAAAAACTGGCAGTACTTTAGGAAGTTGCGTTGCTGACATCAATCCCATTTCTGGTGCCGAGCTGCTAACACAGCCGGCCTGCACAGCTGCCACGGGCTTGGGGATTCCACATACAGGTACTAGGATGTGCTTCACTTCATCATTTCACACATCTTATAACGTAATCACACTAAAGCATTTATATATTAAAATAATTATTTCATTACAAAATACTTCTATACGTCTGTTTATAGTCAGGACATTCTGAAGAGTGTGCAGAGGTCAGTTACATTACCTATTAATTTCATTTTGGAATAGCAAATGGAGGTGATGCTTCTATGTGTGAAGGTAGGTTGTATCAGCCATGATGTTCATTTATGATTATAGTGACGTTATAAAATATTTATTACAAAAAGGGGTGGCTGCAGAGTTGGGTCTGGTGGTATTGAAAAAAATCACCATTTTAAGGGACCATATCCCAAAGTGTCATTCTGCATTCTGCATCTTCAGATGTTCACACATGCCCACCATTCAACCTGGATTACTTCTATGCAAGTAGTTTCCACTAATTTCTAAGAAATTAGAATTAACCTATTTTGTACCTCAAGAGTAAAGATATAAAGATTTATACAAAATTCTCGAAGCAGCAACCTATTTCTCAAACACATTTCAAGAGAAAACCCCAAATAAAAATAAAAATGAAGCTGTGTAGGCTGACTGGAGGCAGAGAACCCAGAAACTTCTCTGGCCTCCCCCAGGGAAACAGTCTGGAAAACACTGATCTGGTACAGTAACTGAAGCTGGGGACTGAAAATTCATTTGAGGATGGTCATTAGATCACAAGGGGCATCTTCTCCACAGAAAAGGGGCTAAGCTCCAGCAAAGAGCTCCAAAATTCCTGGACTCCTCACTCAGGGAAGCTACAGCCTTAAGAATCCTCCACTAAAATCTGGGGAGAGAGAGAAAGAGCTGTCACCCCATTCTCTGGGCGCAAAGCCAGCTCAGGCTAACAGTGAAAGGGCCAGGGCTGGTGTCCCTCCTTTTCCACAGCCCCCTCCTGCCATCAGTGCCCTATTACCAGACCTTCCGCCCCAGCTTGGCCCTTATACAGTATCCCGAGCATCCAATGAATCGCGCATCCCAAGCCTCTTCTTCCCTGTTTGCCAAGATCCTTTCCATCCCCCATGAAACAACTATATCTTCACTGCAGTCCCCTTAGGGGTGGGCTGACAGGAAGCCGGCTTGACTGAAGTCAATCACACTAATACACAACCGGTTGCCAGTTCCCTTAACCCCACCAGAGGCATTTTAAAAGGAAGATGTTTACTAACTCCAGGGAATGTCCACTTCGTTGAATTTCAGGCAGTTCAGCAAAGTGGACAATTTGTCTGGTGGGGAGAGAGTATTTTTCAGTAGGGAATATCAGCTTTGCCCAAGAATACAGCTCAGAAAAGTCCCCGAATGTAATCTGACTATTCACATGCTCCCTCAAAGCCCCCATTTCTAACCCCTAAAATCCGAAAATGCCTGGGGAAGCTTTCTTTTCTTTTCTAACAAGAGCGCCCGCGGTGGCAACAGCCACGTGGTCACTTGTCAACCTGCAAACATCTTGAAGATTTTTTTGTTAGCTTCATGTAGGACGCAAAACAGAAATATATCAACTACATGTGACTAAGAGTAAGAAAAATATACAACTATATTTAAAACACTTAAATTAACAAGATAGTACTTTTGCATTCTAACAAAATATCATACAGTCAGTTTAAACAAGAGTTAATATCCAGACACACTTTTCCAAAATACCTGATGCTAGTTGAAAATTAGTGACCGTGAGATTTTCCAAGAGATTTCGCATTAGCAAAAAGTGTATAATTTTGAAGAACTGTCCGTTCTTTCCTGGAAGATCGTCATTGAATAGGTGAAAATGCAAATCAATGTCTCTCTCATAAACCCAAGTATGGTTGCTTTGTTTTTCGGAATGACGCTTTGGCTGTCAGCAAATTGTATAGCTTCTTCTCCCTTAAAGACAAGAATATATAACCACCACAAAAACGAGATCCCTCACAAGTAACCATAAACCTCTTTGTGTGTCGTAAGCCCTATCTGAATGTGTTCACGTGTTTCTGGATTAACTGACCTACACTGAGATGGTTATGAAAAGGGCCTTAGCCCAGTGTAACAGGCCTACACGTATACCTCTGCTTGGAAAGGGCAGCAGAGGCTTGCCACATTATTATTTCAAAGGCAAAGCTGCTACACTTCCACGTGTGGTATGTCGCTCAAAAAGTCAAAATAAAAATGTTTTCTTCACCGGCTTTTTCGGGTGAAGAAGCTGGACCACAAGCCAGCACATCTGCGTAACAGTGGCCACCAATCTTAGTTCTACCCCCAAAACGAACAATGGCCCCGTTCCCCATAATGACCACAATATTCTGGCCGGGGCTCCGGTTTAGAGAGTGTGGCTCTGTGTTCTGACACTTAAGGACGCCAACACCAGCAGACGCTACCCACTTCTCTCCTTCTGCCTCCACAAGGCAGCACCTACGATCCTCTGGATTTGTTCCCATCCAATGACTTCAAAACTCCAAGAAATGCAACATACAACTTTCAAAAAAAAAAAAACCCCACAAAATTGCATAAGGTCACTGCGTAACACTGTGGACGAAAATTAGAACAGGTGGTCAACTGCAGAAGCAAGGCACTTGGTAGCAGGAGACGAGGAGGGTCCGGGGAGCGCGGGGCTCAGTGAGTCAACAGTTTCAGGCGAGTGAACCAGCTGACCAGCAGGGACGGCTCTGCGGAGGAGGACTTGGCCGCCGAGGAGCCGGCTTTCTTTTTGGTCCCCTCCTCCTGGAATGGAATTGTGGCGCTGCTGTGGAGATCTGAACTGATGTAGCACCGGCTGCCTCGGATGTAGTCTGCGCCTCGGACCAGCTGCCTCTCGGTCGTGGGCCTGGAGAACCGGTACGGGGACGGCGAGCTTTCCTCGACGATGGGGGGGATGCGCTCGTTACTGAAATACCGGCAAAGGGCGTCCTCGCCTGTTTTCAGACAAAGCCCACAGGTCCGTTAAAATACCCGTCCTCTGCAGGGCGCCTCCGGCGGCCGGGCCGCAGCTGCTCCGACTTCGCACGCCTCTCTCTCTCGGAAAGGGGCACCACTCCCCGCCCTCCTCCCGGACGGGCTGCGAGCCTCCCAGGCGGCCACGCCCTCCCCACCGGGCGCTGAGACAGCGGAAACGAAACGCAAGAGGTCCACACGGCAGGCTGCTTGTGCGCCTGAGAGGAAACGCAGGGCCAAACGCAACCAGAGAGTCCATGCTTTCTTACACACTGTCACTTGCAATCAAAAATCAGAGAAGCCTTATAATTCTATGACTCCTTCACATCTGTCCTTGCTCAGTGCCTGCAGCACGGAGCACGGGTCCTGGAGCGTCCCCAGGGAGCATTTAGGAAGGTGGGGTGCCTTTGGTTGTGACTCTGAATGCAGGGCAGGCACTCTTCACCTTTAATGGATGGGGCTCAAAGACGTTCATGCTCTGCAAGGCTTGGGATATTTCCGGAAAAGGAAGGCTGATGACACCCTAAGAGCCAGGAGAGCCCCTGGGATGGGGAGAGGGAGGGATTAAGAAACCAAGTAGAAACCTAACACACTGGGCACTCTGATAACACGCAGCATTCTTCCGACCCAGAAATTCTACTTTTAAAAGTGTACGAAGATACTGATCGAAGTGTTATTTACAACTGGGGCGGGGTGGGGGGGGGATAAAGCAGAAACAACCCGAATGCCCAACAGCAGCAGACTGAGTCAGGACGTGCTACAGACCTAAGACGGATTGCTCACGCAGCTGCTACCAAAAACGCACTTGGTCTAAACAGCATTCCCCAACACGGTATTACTGGACATTGATCTGTTCGGTTCACACATGGTTTCCAGGTGTACAATGTGTAAATATGGGAGCAATCAGAAAACGCACACAGCATGCAGAGTGAGTATTTCTAGGCTGGGGGAGCAGATTACAGATGAGTTTCCTCGAACCTTCTAGATGTTTTTCCATGTGCTTGCTTTGCTTTTATAATCAAAGGGGAAAAGTTACTTTTCAAAAGTACCCTTTGTCAAAAAGCCACGTTTCGTAGGAGTCAATTAATCTAAAATGTCTAGAATAGGTAAATCCAGAGACAGAAAGTAGATTATTGGGCGCCAAGAGCTGCAGGAGGAGGAATGAGGAATGACCGCCTACAGGGGTCTCTTTTTCAGGTGATAAAATATTCTGGAATGAGACGGTGGTGCTGGACACACAACTCTACAAACGTACCAAAAACCACTGACTTGTACACTTTTAACAGGGTGAGCTTTATGGTATGTGAGTTGTCTCTCTAAAAAGCTGGGGTTTTTTTTAAGTGCCCATTATGTAGAGGCCTTTCGTTCTAAAACGAATATACCAGAAAAACGTGGAAGGCGGGATGAGGGTGGAGCATCTTTCTACTTCCTGACCTCACACTCCCCACCCCCACCCCCCAACTCTCCATAGTCAAGGTAATAAAAGGCTAAGTGGGGGCTTCAAAGGCCAAAAAGAATGGCAGTGACAACGTGGACGTTGCTAAATCCAAACAAAGGACAGCCCTGCCCCCTGCTGGCGGCTCCGCAGATCTTCACGTGTCAGCTAAGGGCGTCGTGGCCCCTAGAAGGCACTTCTCTCCCCTTTCTACTGCAGTGCAATCCCGGTGACTCGGGTTCGTCGGTGACCAACTTTAAAGTCCCAGGGAGATGGAAGGGTTGACCACTTTGGAAGCTGGGCCTCCAAAACATCTTTCTTCCTCCTCTTACTATCAAAAGCCTAACATACTCCGACTTCCACCTGCTCTCTGTTTCTGCCCAGCAAAAGCGAAGTTACTAGGTCCTGCCCATGCTGACCATCAAATGTAATCCGGCCAAAAATATTTACAGACATTTCCCTCAAGGCCAGCGTCATCACTAGTAACTTTGATTACAGGGTAAATTAAACCCAAGTTTCTTTTCCAAGAGTAATTATGCTCTAACACAAGAAGGATCGGGGAGGGAAAAAGCCATCTCTGTTCATCAAAAATCAAACAGACTCCAATAATTACAGTCAGAGAATACAGGAGGAGACTGTTTAACGAATCATGTACTTCTACTTGTTTAGAAATTGCACCATCAAGGTCTACAGCCTTTTTCGAGCACACGATACAATAAGGAGACTTATGGTCACTGATTAAGATGATGTAGTTCTGCCATTCTAGAAATGGGCAGGCACTTGGAGGTCTTCAGCACCCCCGATGTTGTAGATGAGAAAACGGGGCTCAGAGAGGCCGGGTCCTTCTCCCGTCCTTAGAGCCCACTCAGGACTAGGGCTGAACCCAGGGCCTGGCCTTCTGACTCCAGGTGTGGTGCTTCTCAGGTTACTTAAACTCACCTTTCCTCCCATGACCTCGGGGTCTGGCAAAGGGGTCCACGATCCCCATCCAGCTCGCATCCGCAGGCATTGACAGAGGCCGGGGCTTGCCTTCAGAGGGAGGGAAGGAAACGGAAAAGCTGAGTTTGGGGGGCTTTGGGGAATCCGTCCCTTCCTTTATTACGAGCCCCTCCCCCCACCCGACAGCACACTCACTTCAGCGTAAGAGAGAACGTGCTCTAGAATGAGGGACAGGATTTGAAAGCATCGGATTTCCACAGCACGTGCTCAGGGCAGAGGCAGGCAGAACCTGAGTCTGCCCGTCCACGGGGCAGAGCAAGTGCAAGTTAGAACGCGGGCTCTGAAAGCTAAAACTGTCGCATGACCTCACCCGGCTGGGCTTCGATGCCACGCAGCGTAATGACCCAACAGCCTTCTCTTGAGAGAGATGAATAGCGGTCTCATACTTAGAATTTCACTGAGGGTTATGTTTTCCTCAGATTACCCTTCAAGTCTGCCAAATTCATCCAACAGTTCCAAATAAGGAAAGGGGCTGGGGGCAGGGGGGGAGGAAGCCAAACAAACCCTCCGCAACGTACCGTAAGATGGTGTTTTCTCTCTCATTTTTGTGGGCAGAATATTGGTTTCTGCTGAATACCCAGGCAGCTGATCAGAATCAGCGATGGTGAATCTCCGTCTCCGGCTTTCCTGGTCCAGGAAGGAATTGGGAGACTCGGAACCTTTAGGACCAGCCAGTGGCTGTTTACACTTACTGAATCCTCTGTAAACAGAACTCCCGTTCTCTTCCCTGAGAAACAGAGGGCAATCATTCAGATGCCTGCAAAGATACTCCCACGCTGAAGAACTACCCGAGACATACCACCTCTAGCACACATAAGAAGTCACCCTACTAAGTAAAATGAGATTTTCTTTTCCATACGTGTTTAAATGATACAAATATACCTTGGAAAAGCTAACTCTGGCTTCCCTGTACATCCGTCCTATAACTGAATCTCCTACTTACTACAGAGACCGTAAGTTAAGGTACGATCTAGCAAACCTTTTTTCTCACATCAAGCAGTATCTGTGCAAGATAAAGCAGACGCTTCATGTGTGATGCAGTTGTTAGGTTTGAAAATGATGTTAAAAAATACTAAAGGCCTTCAGAGTAACCAACGGAGGGTGTCTTATTTTCTGAACTAAGTATAGAAACCAACAAAAACTGGATCACCAATCACAACTTAATTCTTTCGACATGTCAGCTCATAATAGAACTTAACTTTAGTTGAGTCCAGGTTACCAGCTGGTTAAATTTCTTGCATTTAGTCAGAAAATACTGGAGGAGGTTGTTCCATAAGGTGATCATCGAAAAACTACTAGAAAAATACCGAATCCACTGGGTCCAAAAACAATCTAAAGGTCAGCCTTGCCTCGTCGTGTCCCGGAGCCTGCTGCCTGCATACCCCTTCCCCCCATGACTCTATCTCCTTCCATACTTTTAATCCGGGCGTATAACGTCCCCATTCACAAAGCTTTCCTGACCTTTGTTCTCTGTCACCATTTGCATTTTTTCACTCTGCAGAAAATACCCTTCACCAGTGGTGTGGGGTGTGTGTGTGTGTGTGTGTGTGTTCATGCACGTCTCCCCCAAGTAGATTAAAAGCCCCGGTTCCCTTTCACCCTTACCACATACATACTCTTTTTTTTTTTTTTTTTTTGCCACAGCTGTGACCTCTCACTGAGACTCAGACAGGAATATTTAAGATTAGGGGAGTTGGTGGTGGCTGGGGGTGGGGCCCTCCGGTGGGGCCCTCCCTAGTCTCAGTGAACTGCCCAGGCACTGCTCATCAGTGAAACCCTCTGTTCTCTGCGTGCAGAGGCAAAAACTCCTCATAGTTTTAAACACACTTAAGATACCCCGTGACCATGGGACTCCAGTCTGTGAACACAGAAGAGTCCTGTCTACCAACCAGAATGGCCCTGAACACCGAGGTCACTGCTCTACATGCCGTAATAAGTTCTGAGCAACCAAGACTCAAGGATGAGAAAAATCACATTAATTCTTCTTTGTGCCCAGGAAAGAAACACGGGAGAAGCGAAGAGCTCAGCTTAGCAAACAAATGAAAAACTTCAATATAAAGTGAAACATCACTATAAATTCAGTCCAAACTTTGTCTTATGAAATATTACAGCATGATTACGTATTTCTCAATTTATGCTTCAACAGCTGACTAAGGCACTGACAGTTCTCTGGGGACAAGAACTACATCTGTTTTGCATAAGACGGTAACTCAGGCCCAACTCTCAGTAAATATATGTTGAATAGATGAGCCAGATTCTCTAGCTTTACCAGCATATGTAACTTCGTAAGATATAAATAAGCCTACATTTCATCCCTTAATCATCTCCTATATAACGTCTAGCATGACCATCCTCATTTTACTGTAAACATTTAAGACAGCCATTAAGAAAGCAATGATCTTTAAGAATTTATAATAGATACAAACACACAAGTACGTGCAAATATAGCCCACCCACACCTATTCTCACAGGGTTTTTTAAATCCTATGAAGAATACATCTCGCTCAGCAAAAGAAAACTGTAACTTCAGTTAATCTTACAGAAATATTTAGTATCTTCTGCCCCAGAGATGAAGTCACTATGTAGTTAATGAAATTTCAGCTTCAGGGACCCCCAAACAGCTCCTTTCAATGCCTAGTGAGGAGCCAAGACAATGCGTTTCCAAGAGCACATACTTTAGGGAGCCCCCTCCCCACCAAACTGTATGGCTTCAAGACCCATCAAACTGGATCTGTCCCTGCACTTCCTCCTAAAAGATCACACTTCCCCCACCCCCAGGTTTACTGAGATATAACCGCCATGTAATACTGTATTCATCTCAGACATCCAACATAATCATGTATGTACTGCAAAATGATCACCACGGTAAATTTAACATTCATCAGCACACGTAGTTACTAATTCTTGTGATAAGAACTTTTAAGATCGATTCTCTTAGCAATTTTCAAAATATGCAACACAGGATTGTTAACAACAGTCTCCACACTGTACATCGCATCCCCAGGACCTAGCTCATAACTGGAAGCCTGTGCCTTCCGACCACCTTCACCCATTCCACCACCACCAGCCCCCCAGGATGATACTTTTTCGCAGTGGATTCAAGACTCAGCCCCATCACTCTGGAGTTCAGCAGCATCTCCTCTCAAGATGCTCCTGGTCTTCCCACCACCACTAGCGTCTCTATGCCCAGGAGACGTGCCGACCACGAAAACGGGCACCGACGTACCGGGGTGAGTAGGGAACAGCCGGTGGGGGAGGAATATACAGATCCAGGATGGCTGGCTTCTCCTTCTTTAGCGAGGCATCCATTGTGCTGTCCGGGGACTGGGTGGTCGTGGGCAGAGGCGAGGTCTGCATGGAAGCAAGTGTAAAAGCGTGGAGGTTAACTCAGAGATGGCTGTCCCCAAAGCCAACATCAGCCCCTGGGTACCCAGGGGCCCAGGTCGTTCGTGCATTCACAGCTACTCTCTGGTCTTCTTTGAGACAGTCAGAATTTACCAGGAGTTTTTGTTTGGTTTGTTTGTTTGTTTTTACATTTTTTTTATTGAGTTATAGTCAGTTTACAATGTTGTGTCAAATTCCAGTGTGAAGCACAATTTTTCAGTTATACGTGAACATACATATATTCACTGTCAGATCTTTTTTTTCCACTGTGAGCTACCACAAGATCTTGTATATATTTCCCTAAGCTATAAACAGTATGCATATGCAGAATAGATAAACAAGATTGTACTGTATAGTACAGAGTTTTTGTTTTTTTAATTGAAGTATAGTTCATTGACAATGCTGCGTTAGTCTCAGGTGTGCAGCAAAGTGATTCAGTTATACACATGCAGATTCTTTTTCAGATTCTTTTCCATTGTAAGTTATTGCAAGATATTGAATAGTTCCCTGTGCTATACAGTAGGTCCTGATTGTTTATTTATTTTGCATATAGTAGTGTGTATCTGTCAGTCCCAAATTCCCAATTTATCCCTCCCCTTTCCCCTCTGCTAACCATAAGTTTGTTTTCTGTCTGTGAGGCTGTTTCTGTTTTGTAATAAGTTCATCTGTATCACTTTTTAGATTCCACATGTAAGTTCACGTAATGTATCTCTAGGTCTATCCATGTGGCTGAAAATGGCATTATTTCATCCTTTTTGTGGTTGAGTAATATTCCACTGCACATATACACCACTTACTGAGAGTTCTAAAAGCCTTAGACGCATAGTGAGAAACAGAGGCCCAGGAACCAGGTGCCAGGCGGGTTAGGATTCTAGCTCTCAGCAAATCACTGAAGCCCCCAAGCCCCAGTTTCCTCCTGTGAAAAACAGCCACGCTGACAGTGCCTCTCACGCAGGGCAGCGGTGAGGATGGAATGAGTCAGTTCACGCACATCCCTAGCAATGTCACCACTGCCAAGGGGTGTCGGCTCAGAGCTCAGACTGGGTCCCATCCTGGCTAGACCTCTTATTAGCTGTGTATCTCTGGGCAACTCACTCAGCTTCTCTGTGCCTCATCTACAAAATGGGAATAAACGGGGCAAGAATAGTACCAACATGGGGTGGCTGTGAGGATTAAGTGACAGTACAGATGTACAGGCTTAGCACCCAGCTTGTCACATAGAAAGAACCCAACCTTACGCTGCTTAATTTAGTATTACAGACATGCACACGTAACAGAGGTTAATTTTTAAAACTGAAAATCCACACAGCTTAATTTTAGTCACTGGTCTCAGAGGACCTATTTTTTTAAGCCTTGTGTGAGGCCTGCAGTCCTGTCTCTCCCACAGTCTGGTAGCGATGGCCAGCCTTGCCCAGCTGGTAAAGGCGCAGCAAAGAAATCCGAGTCGAAGCTCGGAGATGTTTGGTGAAGGCAGTGGGAGGTGCCACGTGGGGACTGCGCCAGGCCCTGGGGGACATAAAAAGATGGCCACATCCCGTCCAGCGCAGGGGTGATTGACAGCGAGCCGGTATCTCCCAGAAGTGAGAGTGTGAACTAGAGTCTAGGAGCGGGAGAACGGAGTCCCCAGTGCTGAGCCACAGCCCCGTGTTGGGGAGAGACGCTGAAGCACAGGGGGACGGGACTGAGTCTCCAGTCCCCCATAAAAGAAGCCCCGTATCCTGCACGTCAGCCCCTAACACACAGGCTGTCAACTCTCCTCACTGTGCAGCCAGCTGACATCTCATTCTGTCAGTCTTGCACAATGTCTGGAAACACGGGGCCAGCACCCGAGCCCCCAGCAAACAGAAGCAGAAGCAAAGTGGAGCACTTCCGCAGAACCGGCACTCCAGCACTGACGGCGGCTTCTCCATCAGCAACCCTCGTTCACCAGGACTGGAGCCTAAAAACAGAGCGGCGAACACCCTTCCACTGGCGATGAGCACTGATGGTGTCGACAAGAACCAAAGCAGCTCCCTCCCCCCAGAGGTGGGCCCCCAGGCACACAGACCCCTGAGAAATGACACACTGGGGAGCGCCCACGGCGGGGCCTGAGAAAGCGTACGGAGTACTGGTCTGCCAGGGCCCGTGTCCTGAGCACGTCCGGGGCGCATCCCGAGGGCGCTGGGCAGCCAAGCTGCAAAACGGCCTCTGCGTTTTGGTGGTCGTTCTCTCCCTGGGTCGGAAGCAAAGCTAGGGTCCCCCTCCTCACCGTCACCTCTTCCCCCAAACTGCACAGTCAGTGGAACGTGGAAGGACGGCGGACAAAACCAGAGGAAAGGGATGTGTGTCCCTTCTTCAGTGAATTTCCAGGAGTCAAGGGACTAACTGTAGCCTCTACTCTGAGATAATTTTCACTTCCCTTCCGCACACATTCACCTGGATTTTCCTGTCGCTTCAAACTCAGGGAGGCTCAGAAGACTCATCATCTCCGCCTCCCAGATGGCTCTTCCCTGACTTTCCAACTTCCGTCGCTGGTATCACCCACTGGGACCACGGTCACATCTCTCATCTGCTTCTCCCCTGCCCTGCCTGCCCTCCCCGCCCCTCCCCCAGAGCCTCTTCTAACAGTCAACACCAATGCCTGGGAGTGAGGCTTAGAAATACTAAATACCTGTCGGGGTCCCACAGCTAAGACAGGGCAGAGGTGGGATTTGAACTCAAGGAGTTCAGCTCGGGAGCCCCCTCCTGTCCACTATGCCCTGCTGCTCTGTGAGTCCTCTTGATGCTTCTTCCAAAGGGCCCCCTGCATCAGTCTCTCACTAGAATCGCCCGGGTCGCCGGCCTCGCCGAGAACCACATCACCAGTCGTCGAGACAGGCCACACCTCCCAGCTGCTGCTCCTCGCGGTTAGACAGCATCAGGGGCTCCTTCCCCCAACCCCCAGAATGTGACCGTATGTGGAGACAGGGTCTCTGAAGACACATTTAATTTACAATGAGGTCATGTAGGTGGACCCTAATCCAGTCTGACTGGTGTCCCTGTAAGACGAGGAGATCAGGACACAGACACAGAGGGAAGACCACGTGGAAGCGTAAGGAGAAGACGGCCACCTGCAAGGCAAGGAGGGAGACCCCGGAAGGAGCCAGTCCTGTTGGCGCCTTGATCTCAGACTTCCAGCTCCCACAATTTTGAAGAAATAAACTTTTGTTTCAGTTGCCCAGTTGGTGGCACTTTGTTACGGCGGCCCCAGCAACCTAACACAGATATTAATGTAAAAACCAACTGTCAGCTTGTCGTACACACTCTGTAGCCCGGGACTCCACACCGCTCGTCCAGCTCGGCCCACCAGCCCAGCTTCCTCTCCCGCCCTCTGCCCCGGAGGGCCTGGTCTGCTCATTCTTGCAGGACGGCTGTGGAACCCACTCAGGGCCACTCTGTCCACCAGGGAACCCAGTTGCTGTGAACATTTGTTGCCAAAAGCTCACAGCTGCCCCCGTCTCTGGAGAACCGCCCTCAGTTGACAGCTGCCTTCCCTGAGGACAGTGCCGTGAGCCCGTCGCTGTGTGGTTACACCTGTGCGACAGGACAAGCCTAGCTTCTACGTGAGACAGCACCCGGCTGGCTCTCCCTCCTTATTCTGCCTCCCTCCCTCCGTTACAAACTCTCCCTGAAGCACATGCCCTCGATCATCTTCACAAGAACATCTGCTTCCAGGAAAGCTTGTCTGGGCGCCGCCCACCCTGATGGCCACACATCCTGGGTCCGTGGGCTTGCGTCTCATGTCTAAGGAGCAGCGTTCGTCTCCTCCAGGACCCCGCCTCCCGTCTGTCTCCCAAAGCCCCGCTAGTTCCCCAGGCTTCAAAGTGCCCCCACCTCCCTGGGAAGAGGTGCCTTCACCTACCTGTCTGTCCCCATCGCCCCTTTTCAGAACCCAACATCTACCCCTGGGCACCAAGGAGCTGGCAGAGCTAGGGGACAGCAAGCGCTCCATCAGCGACTGATGACGAGTGCAGACCTCCACGAGGTTACGTAACACACTCTGAGAATTCCAGAACTATTCAGAGATGGCGCCCCTCCTACTGAGCGATGCAAACAGAAGCAGCGGGGGTGCGACGGATGTGCTCTGTTATTATTTAAGAAGTGACTTTAATTCTGTGCCCCTCCTGGCTCCACTCTCTACGTCCTGTTATTTATTTTTATGTCCCTGGCCACCCCCTAAGGTACATATGGAGATGTATTTCCCGTGCTCCATGCAGCACAAAGTTTCCAAAGTGATGGCTTGAGACTGCCACTGTTCCTTCCATTCGAAGATGGACAAGACAATCACACAATTGCAATCTCACTCTTACAAAAGGGCATTAAAATGTTACTGCTTTTCATTCATGGTTTAGGAATTAAACACTAAGGACTGATGACATAATAGTGGGGTTGGTCAGTGAGCCCTCTCACCCAGGTTAGGCAATAAGGAGTGTATTGTTTGTAGAGAATTTAAATAATAAAATTCACTAAAAGCCAGTTGGCCTTTTATTATCACCCAAGACCTCCAAGTCTAAACAAAGGAGTGATACAGTTCTCTGCCTCTCTACTGGCTGGGTTGGGCCCACAGTCCCTACCCTGTCTTGACACACCGCTGACTCAACCCCATGTGGTCTCTCCAAGGTTAATGTTCAGACTGGATCCCTTCACGTGGGCGTGTGCTTGAAAGGACAGAGAAGGATCAGAAGGACCTTTCTGCAGTGATGGTGGCCATGAGCCACAAGCGGCTACCAGGCACCTGAAATGTAACTGGTAAGACTGAGCCACTGAACCTTTTCGCTGTAATTATCTAAAGAGTCGCAGGTGGCTAGTAGCTGCCATACTGTTCAGGGCAAACCTGTGTATTTTCATACACACAGGATTACAGGATAATTATCCATACACAGACTCTGGAAACCAACCGCCTTCAAACTGTAGTCTTTCTTCTGGGGGACAAATCAGCTGTGGGACACGGTCCCTGCACTGATGCCAGATGAAATGCTTACAAGCAGGGACAGTTACCTGCACCAGAGGCGGCTTCCATCGTAGGTTTTTCAGGGGAGCAGGTGTAAAGTTGAAGGAGCTCGTGGGGCGCTTTTTAAGCAGTAACACAACTCCTGTAGGATTCTCTCTCAATTTTCTCACCAAATTTTTCAGCTGCCATCCCACCTTCAAAAGAAAATGAAGAGAGGGGACTCACTCATGAATAATGAGAACTCAAGCCTATGGCTTTATCTCAAAGAAACCAGCTGTGAGCAAGTAAGTAGCTATACATGTGTCCATCTCTGCACTGCTTAAAGTTATGGAAAATCGGATATAAGCTGCAAATTTTAAAAATGCAACAAGACGGTTTAAAAGTTTTAGGGGGGACTATTAAGTCTTAAGTCTCAATGAACAAACTCACCACTGTTTGCTGATTCACCTGAATGACTTCATCACCAGCATGAATCTTCTGAGATCTGTCTGCAGGAGACTGTTAGAAACAAAGAGACTTGTCTTATTTTTCAAATCTTCTATTTCTTTCTGCTTCTACTTCTTCTCCCCTCTTTCTTCCTCAGAAAATGAGCAGTGGAAATACAATTTTCCCAAGAAATGTTACTCAGTATACTTGAGTTCCCCGAGAGCTCACAGCTTGGAGAACCTGGCATATGAATACAGGTGTTATCTACTTTATTAGTGGTTTGTTGTAACAGATAATTTGTCAGTTGGAACAGCTAAGGTTCAACTAACCTATCACAAAGAGTGGGACACACGATGGGCTGAGCAAAGCCACCGACTCTTTTAGAAAGTACCTGACACATATCCGTACCAAAATCAATCTTGCAAAAGCCGACCGTTTACCGCATAAAGACCATCGCTGTAACTCTACCACCCCATTTCCTTTTGAGCAGTTATTAAAACGAAATCTTACTTTCACTCAAACTTGTTTTACATGCTATCACAATGCTGTTAAAACAGACAGTGGCAGGAGAAAATGTATTTCTTTGGGGAAAATGTAAGTATTTTTCATTTTCAGGTTGAATTCAAAATGAATGTCTTTTCACAGTATCCAAACAAAGTCCAGACTTTGTATCCGCCAAATAATATCTGCTACATACAAATTTGCAAATATCAATACAGATACAGATACACATTCACGTATGTGTGTACAGACAGATAGTTAGGTGTAAACTATTTGTCAAATATTTCCCATGGTATTCTTGTTCATTTAATCAAACTAGAATTCTTTGTTTAAGATGTTTCACATGACCAAAAGAAAAGATGTGAACTTATCTACAAAACAGAAACAGACTCACAAAGTAAACAAACTTATGGTGACCAGGGGGATAAGGTGTGGGAAGGGATAAATTGGGAGTTTGAGATTTGCAAATAAACTATTTTATATAAAATAGGTAAGCAACAAGTTTCTTCTGTATAGCACAAGGACTTATATTCAATATCTTGTAGTAA